TTCCTGACCTGAGCCCTGCCAGCTCCAGCAGCCCACAGCCTGCCTTTCCAGACACTGCTCCTGGTAGGCTCTTCTTATTTTTGTTTTCCTTTTTTAACTCCTCTGGCACCAGTCTGGAGGCCTCATACAGTGCATGCAGTACTCCTAATTTGCAGCAGATTAATAAAACAGACCTTTCATTGTTTGGGATTTCAAACATGAAAGGCTTCTGTCCACTGTGTCCATTTTTTAATGCCAATTTGTTGTGCCCCACAGAGCCCCCTTGCATGGTGTCTGCAGGGTCTTACAAACCGTTTGAGTCAGGTTTTGCACAGAAACTTTGCAAAAGTCTTGTCAAAAAAGTGTTCCCTGTTTTCCTGCATCCATCCCAGCATTTTTGGGGTGAGGGATGCTGTTTCAGAAGTCACTACAAGCATGAGAACAGCTTCCTTGTTTCTTAATGTTTGTTGTTTGTTATTTTCTGCTGGCTGCTTCCCATCGGAGCCAGAATTGGAGTGTGAACAAAGTTTGTGCTGCTGGCAGATTGTTTCAACTCTTTTTCCCTCCCTACCCCCGGGTCACCACCACCTCCTCCCTGCAAAGAGGAACGCATGTTTCTGGTTATTTCCCTCTGCACTGGGGAGCTGTGTATACAGGGAATTCTGCTTCTCCCCGTGGTTGGTTCAGAAGCTGAAGCAATGCCTTGCATGGGTGTTCCAGTCCAGCTGCCTTCTTGTGCAATTAGATGTTGTCAGAAATGGAAAAATGTGACGTTGTGGAAGAATTAGGACATCTATGTAGACTTGGATCAGATGAGATCAGGGGCTCAGCAAGCTCCTTGCCAAAGTATCTGTATGACCAAGACCACAACTCCCATATACCTCTTAAAGCATCATCTGGAAAGGTGGCCTGGCCTCCTGGGCAGAAGGGAGCCAAAAAACTCTAGAGGAGGAAGGGATGCAGGCTTGGAAGTGTTTGAGTTGCAAAAGAAGTCAGTCATTTTAAGTCAACAATTTGCCTTGTAGAACATAAGGAAATAAAAACATATCCATTGTGTTTTGTTGGGTTTTCTCCTCGCTGCTTTTCAGTTTGAAGGGCTGCCAGGGATCCCATGCAGCGACCGATGCATTCCTCCCATTTGCACAATTCCTCAGGCTGAGCTAGGGGAGTGTCCTGTCACCAGGACAAGCCTGGCATTTCTGTGCAGTGCTTTCCCCTCTGGTGGGAAGGTGGCTTTGCTCTCTTGAGCTCTGTGTCCTGGTTATCTCTGGGGGCCCCTTTCTGCTCATCATTCATGGTGCCTGCAGGGAGTGAGCCAATGTGAGAAATACCCGTGTTGATGGTGACTTTGTCACTGACTGTATTGCTGTAGGCAAGGAGGGATACTGGAAATAAACCCATTCCCTTCTCTTCCTTTCTCCTATCCCCGTTGTTTGCTGTCAGGAAACATTTGCCTTGTGGTCTGAAGGGCACTAATTCAGGACAACCATACTCAATACCCAGCTCTGGCTTGCGGCCACCCTGCCAAATTACTCAGCTTCCATTTTCCCCATCAGCAAAGTGAAACTAAAAGCCTTTTGTTACATCCTGGCAATCAAATACCATCTGACACCTATATAATGTCTCTCAACTCAGGCTTCTGGGGTTATTTTAACTGACCATGACATCAGATCTATACCAATTGGTTGCGGAATAAGTTAGTGCTCTGTAAGTGGGGTTTGGTTTGGAGTTTTTGCTGTGCTGTGCTGGAGTGATCCCTGATTAAGAGGAGCTCTCCCTAGCAAAGGGTGGTGGGGCTGCTAGAGGCTCTTCACTTCCATAATAATCAGCCGTTGGTGTTACTTGGCTAGCACCCTACCAAAATGCTGAAGAGGACAAATAAAGGCTGGCATCAGTTCCTTCACTAACTTCAGGTTGGGGTGTTGATCGATACACTGAGAATTTGGACTGAGAAGTCTGGGTGTTGGAATGGTACGAGTGGAGCTTGGGGCAACACCTGGCCAGAGGCCAGAGCTCCGCCAGCGGGAGGGGCAGGCACCAGCTCCGGCTTCCACAGCGCTTGCTGGAGGGCCAAGCAGAAACCGT